AATGGAAGGAATGCCAGTCCATCCCTACCTCAATCCCAGCCCCGAAATGTTCCCTACAAGCAGGGAGTACCAACGGCACACGAGAGAAGTGTCTCTGGGTGCCCTCCTGCTGCCTCTGGGGCGTTTCTGCAAGGCTGAAATGGAGGCCTGGCCTATGAACTGGTAGAGGAGGAAAAGGAGGAGGAAAAAGAGGGGGCCAGAGTATAGAAAAGGGAAGTTATTCCAGTGGTGGCCAATGAATAACATCCAATGATTTATAGGAAGTATAATCCAATAATACAGTAAAATAAAACAGTGTGTGACTGAGATGGTTTTGATTCCAGGAATTATAAAACATATTTTTTAAAAAGAGAAAGAGCAAGAGGGAGAGAGAAAAAGGAAGAAAAAAAAAAAAAAAAGGCCAGATTGGAGCAAATTGGGCACAGATGGGGGATGCAATGGGTTTCAGTGATGCCCTACCACAAACGCTGCTTCAATTATTCCTCTTCAAGAAACTAGAGTCTATTTCCTTCAATTACAGAATTTTCAAAAAATTAAAATTCTTGGAGTGTTTGTGGTTTAGATCAACAGTTCACCCTCCAGCATCACGTCAGCCGATCAAACGGCCACTGAAGTGTTAAATGCTGAGGCACGTGGAGAAGGCCCCATTTCTCCCTTTGGGCTCAGGAATGCTGTAGAGAGATTACCAATTGTGACATCACTCTGGGAACCACCTATCTCACCACCACCCATCACTCGCCAAAGAACAATTTTGGACCCAGGCCAGGTAAGGAACACACTGTTCAATGAGAGCTGGCTTGCCCAGAACTGTGGCCTTCTTCATCCATGCATTCAGTACAGACTTAACTGAGGGCCTAGTAAGTACTAGGCACTTTCCTAAGAACCCCCCAAACATCCCTCAAATTTATCTGTCCCCAATCACTTCAGTGCGGGATTCTAGACTCTGTAGTTCCACTGAAGTAGAATTTTTGCAAAGGGCTCATATGAGAGGAGGAGACAGAGGTCTCCCCCACCAATGGCCCTCAACCCATGAATTTTGAGATCACTGCTGAGATCTGAAAGTTTAGTTGGTTAAATGAGGTAGCAGAACTCAATTTATTTCCTCCTGTGTGAAGGGGGGCAAATCTGATCTCACATCCTCTGCCTTCCTGAGCTCCAGGGAAAACTATAACCTGGGAAAAGGGGAAAGATGCCTTTTAGTCGCCACCAGCTGAGGGTTTTTTCCTCCATTTTTACTTGTGAGGTGTCCAAAGCTTTTAAACAGTTCTATATCTCTCTTGACCACAAGGAAAGCACATTTAAAAAGCAATCACCCTAAAGTGTTAGTATCATTCTATCCCTGAACTACTGGTATTTTGAAAAGAGGATAGTTATACAAGGGTGGCACTGAACACAAAAAAAATGAATCAGAGGCATCAACAAAGAACATACTTTTTAGTAAGGACGTCCCTGTTGCTCTTCAAATCATATGCCTTAGGTACCATATCTACAAGGAAGGCCCAGGCACAGACTGAAAGGATCCCAACTGCCTTGGGGGCCACAGATCACCTCTGCTTCAGGCTGGAATGTTCCTTCTCCACAGAGTCCAGGAACTGACATATGCAAACACCCACCCAGAAGGACATGTCCAAGTAAGAATGGAAAGAAAAATGATGGTCCAGATGTTCTGTAACTCGCAGTGACTGCCAAATCACCAAGACCCCAAGCACCTGGGAGGGCCAGGCAGCATCAGGCCCTTGCTTCTCGGTTTCAGACAGCCAGGGTTCTGTGGCTGGGTGGCGACTCTGACAGCAAGCAGACTGGCCTGGAGAGAAGCCTTCAGAAGGGCACCAGCTGACAGGACTTGGGGGCTGAACACTCAGGGCTGATTTATCACTTCCTTACTCATAAAAATGTGATTCAAACTGCTGTTGATTAGTGAAGGATTTAAATCTTTACCCTCTCCCCAACCCCCTTCCCTCTCCACCCCCGGCACAGATGCTGCTACTCAGCCACAACACCCCCTTCTTGCCACTGTCCGTGCAAGCACAGCACAGGGGCCCAGAGAAGATGACTCATGTGCTGGGAAATGGAAAAGTGCATCTTCCCACCAACTGGCCCCGCTGAGTGCTCTGCTCACCCCTCTCCCAATGGCAGCCCACACAGTGGGGTCTGGACGGCCGCCTCAACTGCACACCGGGTACTTGGCAGCACGTCCGCAGAGCTCTCTGTCCTACTTGAGTGTTATATCCTGTGGCCCAGGCTGTTTTTCCCTGAAACACTCTTGGAGCTTCTGACCACCTCAGCTCATACTCCCCTTGGCCCCAGCTGCCTCATGGAGGTGAGCGTCAGGACAAGGCCAGAAATGAGCAGTCTCAAGCACAGGCTCGGACTTGTCCTTCTTGGCTAGCAGGTCCTCATTATGACCAACCATGGATGGAAAAGAGTCCTGAAAAAAGAACCTTGGCCTCACATGGGAGAACCACCTATTTTCTCCTTTCTCTGTTCTCACCACCTCACCTTCCTTTCACCCATATTTTCTTAACCTTTACTTAACAGCAGCTACAAGAAAAGGATTCACTGGTGGCCTATGAAAAGGCCAAGGTATTCCTTTTCATGGAGCAGAAGCTGCTGACAACAGATGCTTCGCAGGCAAGAGCCGCAGGTCCTTTACACTCACACCTCCTGAGACCACAGGTCACTCGAGGCTGGAATGATACCTTGGCAGAGGCTGCAGTTCTGTGACAGAGCAGCAACTCACCGAACTCTGTGTTGCTGTTAGAGGTAGGCAGGAAAATAAATAGAAGGGCACTGCAGGAGGCCCCAGCTCCTGAGTCCGGTGAGCTTCCCAATTGGTAGGAGAACCAGCAGAGTAACGGTGAAGGAATCAATCTCCCTCCCCTTTGGACTTCACAGCCCACCATGACAGCACTTCACAAACTTTATTTCCTCCTTCCTGGAAACCACCACTGCCCCTCAAGATTGCATGCTTTCTTTTTTATTTATTTATTTATTTATTTTTTATTCTTATGTTAATCCCCATACATTACATCATTAGTTCTAGATGAAGTGTTCCATGATTCATTGTTTGTGCATAACACCCAGTGCTCCATGCAGAACGTGCCCTCCTCAATACCCACCACCAGGCCAACCCATCCTCCCACCCCCCTCCCCCCCAGAACCCTCAGTTTGTTTTTCAGAGTCCATCGTCTCTCATGGTTCGTCCACCCCTCCGATTTCCCCCGCTTCATTCTTCCCCTCCCGCTACCTTCTTCTTCTTCTTTTTTTTTTCTTAACATATATTGCATTATTTGTTTCAGAGGTACAGATCTTAGATTCAACAGTCTTGCACAATTCACAGTGCTTACCAGAGCACATACCCTCCCCAGTGTCTATCACCCAGTCACCCCATCCCTCCCACCCCACCCCCCACTCCAACAACACTCAGTTTGTTTCCTGCGATTAAGAATTCCTCATATCAGTGAGATCATATGATACATGTCTTTCTCTGTTTGACTTATTTCACTCAACATAATACCCTCCAGTTCCATCCATGTCGTAAGATTGCATGCTTTCTCAGAGGTATTCTCAGGAATAATTAGCCAAGCTCAAAAAGGCACCTAAGCCTCTGCATCTTGACTTCTGCTGGGAACTCTCAATTTTGTAGCAGGCAGCATGAGGGGAGAAAATCCTCTAAGATTCAGATATGATTGAAAACCCAGGTGGACGAGCAGAGGACCTTGCAGAGAAAGTCCCAGGAGAAGCCAAGTTTTCAAGGGAAAGTGTGGCATATATACTCATCAGGGGAGAAATCCACCACCCCCAATACCAGTGAGGCATAACCCCCAAGTACAAATGGCAAGGGAAATAAATCAACTTCAGAGTGAGAAAGCACTAAGAAAAGATGCAACAAGAGAACTAGCGACACTCTGTCCAGAAAGACCAGGTCTGTTTTTTTTTTTAAAGATTTTATTTATTTGAGAGAGAGAGAGCATGAGAGGGGAGAGGGTCAGAGGGAGAAGCAGACTCCCCACTGAGCGGGGAGCCCGATGTGGGACTCGATCCTGGGACTCCAGGATCACGACCTGAGCTGAAGGCAGTTGCTTAACCAACTGAGCCACCCAGGCGCCCGACCAGGTCTGTTTTAAAACAGAATCTGCACAGGACAGTTTCCACTTCTTGGCATTTCAGATAAGAACCTTCCAGCCTTGAGACCACTCTGTCAATCCTCTGAAACGATTCTTGGCAGCGTGGACCAAATAAACACACAAAACAATGTCACCCCCATGCTACATATTTCCATCAAGTCAAACCACATCATCCTTACCTAAGTGGGGTGGAGGGGAGGGAAGGGATCCTGGTAACATCCTTCAACAGTGACCTGGTCATCAGAACATTTAAAAATCCTGCCAATCATTCCCTCCCTCCCCACCCCCACCTCAAAAAACCCCCAGTGTTCAGAAAAGCTTTTCAGAATGCACACCAGTATAATGGCCAAATTCTAGGCCTGGTGATTTTTGTGCTTCCAGCTTGAGTCACCAAAGCTCATCAATTCACTGTTCGTACTCCCTGGCAGGCTCCCACAAGGGATAGCCCATAGGGAACTAGACTTTTCCATACTGAACAAACAGGGTACATGCGTCCAGAAACAGCTATTCCCAATCCCTGCCAAGCGTATGGTCTCTGCAATGAAACATTTCAGCAATGCCTCTCCCCTGGGAGAGGCTCTGGGTCTATAGCCTCCAAGAGGCCTTGCTGCTGCCTTTAGCACGGCCAGATGTGCAACAGCATCTCTGGGTTTGCAAATAAAGCTCTATACCCATGATTCCTTCCTTTCATCCCACCCAAGCACTAGAGAGTCATACAGATTTCAGAGAGTAAATTAAAAATCTGAGAGGCAATGATAGGGAAGCGTGTGTTTGCGTGTGTGTGTATCAGGGGGAATGTCGTGGTATGGTAGCATATGAAAGAAGCTAGACTCAGATTTATCTGTGTGGATAAAGATGCCAGCCGTTCCTTACCTTTCAGCTGAGAGTTGTGCACAGCAAACATGTTGATGGTCATAAGCTGCAGCATGCGGGTACTTCCAATAGGAGGGGGGCTGTGCTGCAGCAGCACCTGGAACTCCTTGAGGACCTTCTCCGCCACCGCAGGGAATGTCTCCATCCTGCAAACACAGCCAGCTCATTCAGGGAGGCACGTGCCCAAGAGCAGCTGGTGTGCACACGCACACGCGCACACAAACTCCCACCCCACCACGCCGTGTCTCTCTGAAAGCAGACCACTCATGCCTAGGACGTTTTCTTTCACAAACCTTCCTGGTATCCTAAGGTTGTGACCACATTTAAGAAAAAGAATTGATCAGGGATCAGAGATGGAAACAACTCAACCTCTGGATACGTCACTATGAGTTATTAGGCTTTGGTATGCTATTTCCTAACCCCTGGCAACCACTGGATTCAAGCTGAAATCAAAGTTTCTCTCTGAAACACTCCGTTTTTGTGAATAGTGAACAAATTTCCTTAAAGCTCTACAACCTACATATTCCCCAAACTCTCTGGTATGAAAACTGTATTCCTTAAAAAGAGGTTCATGAATCTAGAGGCTTCGCTTCAGGAAACCAGGCATAGTTCTGCTGCTGTCTTTTAGGTACCATCACACTAATTGCTCCACCTAGGGATCCCAGACTTCCCCTTGAAGAAGCCCTAGACCAAGGGCCCCCATGATCTGTTTCAGTCTTTCCTGTGTTGCTGTCCTCCTCCCTCTCACAAGCCTCTGCTCATCAGGGTCTGTATGTTTTCAGGCCAGTGGAAATCTAATGCCCTGGCCAACTGCCACTCCCAATACAGGAAGAGCCTATAATGTAGGGAGGTAGAAATCCAGCCAGTGACCTAGGGCTCCTAAAGAGAGGTCATTCAAACCACTGCTTGCCAAATGTGGCCACTGGATCCCAAACAGTGGTGCATGCCTGGAGCTCCTTTGGAAACATGAACAAAACCACAGCTCAAGTCCTCAGAAAATAAAAAGCAAATTCAAACTTGGTGCTAGAGAGAGAAACCAGGCACACGGGCCATAGAGCCACGCTGAACAATTCGTGGTCAGCAAAGTATCTTTTATCCATCCTCAACCCCCACCCCCCAAACAAACAAACTCCTTGTGGTACACTGGGGGGTGGGGTGAGGAATAGCTCCAGGCTGGATTAATAAATAGCTTCTGGAAAGCCACAGGGAAGGGAATCTTTCTCAAAAGATACAAAACAGTTTCAAGTCCTAGAGAAAGGTGCTTCTGGTTTCACCTGAACCTTGGCCCTTTCGCCACTGAGTAATACCCTCCCCGTGTTAGGAAAAAAACTCCAGAGCTTTCTGGCATCTTAGCAATCTTCATTCCTTACCCTTGGATGGCAACTCCTATTACTGACCTTCTAGTACCCAGGAGTCATGCCACAGCTATGGGTCAATTACAGTTTATACTCCAGTTCCCTTCTCTGCTGAGCTGTCCTCATTTTCATTGGCACAAAACATGCCATGTATTTGCTTTTTTCCCCAACATGCCATTTCAAGTGCCCCCCCTCCCCCGGTAAAAACAAGGAAAAAAAAAAAAGAACCTTGTTTTTCCTTCCAATTCAGAACCATTAAAACTCTTGGTAGGTTTGGAATGGCAGAGAGTGATATGTTTGGGGCTGGAATGGATCCATTTTTCCCCATGGGCTATAACAAAGGTTTCATTTTAAATCTTGACACTGTGCAGCACTCTTTCTGTTCGGAGGTGGGGAGGGGGGCTAGCACTTCTCATTACGAGAATAGCAGTGTTCACTCTGCTTGAAAAGCAGCCACAGTGGGCAAGTTTCAGAGCCATGTGTCTCCGTGTTGAAAGGCAGTAGAGAGCCAGCACAGAATGACAGGACAGAGGTGTCACGTGGGACAGTCCTGCTTCGAAGCTGTGTCTGAGGAAGCCTCTTCCCTGGGATGGGAATTGAAACAGATCCATTAACTCCCTAGGTCAGACTGAAGTCTCAAATGAGCACCAGGTCAAATATCCACATCTCTCTCTCTTTTTTTTTAATAACAACAAAAAAAAGATCCTCCCTTTGCCTTTCAACTAGTACAACATAACTATAACAACAACAAAAAAACCCTCAAATACATAAGGATATCGGTTAGAGTAACTTCAACTCTTGAGATATGAGGGAAGATGAATCCACTCAGACTAAAGCAGCTTTGTTAGGCAGTAACTGAGGGACGCACAGATAACAGATCCTTCCTCAGAGCTCAATAGCGGGGTTTCTGCTTCCCAGTTTTGTCACTAAAATGCTGATTTGGGCCTCAAACCACCTGTAAGTAGTTTTATGTCTTTCTCTTTGCTCCACCCGATATTACAGGATAAAAATTATACTGAAATGGAAATACAATGTACAACTTATGTTTGAAGTTTTATAAAATTATAAAAAGCAGCAACAGCAGTAGCAGCAAAGGAGGAGAAGAGAGAGCATAAAAAGATGGTAATTTATAACAGCAAAAAATTGAAAACAGCCTAAAATGCCCAACAACAGCAGATCATTAAGATGGCACATCCATATAATTGAATTCTATTTTTTAATTTTTTATTTAAATTCAATTTAATTAACATATAGCATATTATTAGTTTCAGAGGTAGAATTTAGTGATTCATCAGTTAGATCAGAACATATAACACCCAGTGCTCAAATTCTTTTTTTTTAAAGTTGTATTAGAGGGGCGCCTGGATGGCTCAGTCGTTAAGCGGCTGCCTTCAGCTCAGGTCATGATCCCAGAGTCCTGGGATCAAGCCCTACATCGGGCTCCCTGCTCAGTGGGAAGTCTGCTTCTCCCTCTCCCACTGCCCCTGCTTGTGTTCCCTCTCTTGCTCTCTCTGTCAGATAAATAAATAAAATCTTAAAAAAAAAAAAATATTAAATTTTTAATCATGTGGGGGAAAGTTCAATATATATTACATGAATACACTTTTAAAATAATTGAATGTCCCTTGTTACGCATATTTGTAAAAAAATAAATGTGTGATATGTATAGAAAAAAAGATAAAAATATACACCAAGTGTTAAGGGTGGAGAGTTATCTCTAGATAGTGAGAAGATGGGCAATTTTTTATTTCTTCTTTTGCTGGGTTTTAATATTTTACAATGAGCACTGTATGCAGTAAATAGATTTTTCCCTACAATGAATACGTCTGGCTTTTGTATATAAAACATTTATAATTTTAAAAATAAATCAAGACATAAACATTGCATTTTTCACAATTCAAAGACCAAAATAAATATATCAGTCTTTGAATTCCAAGAGACCTTGAAGCTGTGCAAATAGCGTGACTAAGCAAGCAAGTAAAAACTAAAGCGGTAACTTTAACCAATGCAATAATGGGAAGCAAAATTATTCTATTTGTCACAAATCAAAAGTCTCCAGGCTGCCGGCTTCCCAACCTCTCTCAGTGGAGTCCAGGCACAGGTCTGATCTGCCTCTCACCAGGAAAGCAAGTGTCTGTCAGGAGCCATATGGGATCCCTGACTGAATCTTCTTCCTGAGCCTGAGAAGATTCTGTCCCTATCCTTAAAAACTGCAGAAGATACAATCATTTTCAGGATAAGCATTTTGCAGACTTAAGTGACTGCTTTCCGAAGTGATCTCTAGAGACACCTTGTCTCATTTGAATGGCAGTTTCAAGAAACCAGTCTTTCAGACAACACTGGGACCTAAATTGGGAGTGACTCAGACAGTGACTAACGGGACAGCACCCAACCTCTCAGATGCTGAGGAACGCAGCTGGGCTAGATGACATTCTCTGCAGAAAACAATCACGCTTCCTAATTTTTTTCAACTTCTTAATTTTTAAAAACTGGACAAGATAGGAGCAATCCAGTAGCAAAACAAAAACAAACAAAACTAAGCCATGTGACAGGATAGAGATGAGAGAAAAAAAAAATCATAGTGCTACAGAACATAAGGACTGGAATGGACCTTGGACATCACCTATTTAAACTGCTGATAAGGAAACTGAAGCCCAAAAAGGCTTTGACTTGTTCCCTCTCGAGGTCTTGTAATTAGTCAGTGGTGAAAAAAAAACTTTCCCCTTGGGCACTTGATTCCACCTAATGCTCTGAACCTCTTTTTCCCTGGACACAGAGGAGGGAGACTCGTGTTGCACACAATTGGCATTCAAGCGGATACAGATGCGATTTGGAACACCTAGCACAGAGAAGACACAGGCCCAGAGAGCAAAGCAACCCAGGGCTTTTCTCAAAAGGCAGGCAGGACAGTGGATGTGTCTTCAGCTGCTCCCCATTACAATCTCCTCACTCTTAATTCGTTTTCAACACCTCCCACATTTCACATCTTCTTGGTAATTAGGCAACAGTCCATGTTGTTGTGTGTGGCTTGGGCTCACTCCTTTTCTAGTCCTACAGACTACTATGCTTTTTTTTTTTTACCCCCAATAGAAGTTACTGCTGTTTCTGCCTTCCAGAATAAATATGGGGCTCAATTCTTTTCCTTCCAGGAGAGCACAAGAATACTCATCAAGGGGCTGGAGTGCCTAGAATTTACATATATTTTCCTCATGTGAACATAACTGTAACTCATTTTTTATGAAGATGAACATAGACTGGCCTTATCTTTTTGCCAACAGAATATGTTATATGCAGGAATGGAAGAGGTCTTGAAAAATAATCTGGACCACAGCAAACCACCTCTGACAAATGAGATAATCTATTCTTTTTTAAAGACTTCCAGAGAAGAAAATTCCCAAACATCTTCCCTCTGTGAAATTTACTTACACCTAACCCAAATCTCTTCAGCTGCAACATAAGCCTATTTTCTTTTGCTGTCATCCCATAGAAATCAAAACTATCCAGTTATGACTCTTTTATATTTAAACACAAGGTACCCCACAGCTGTCTCTAAATAGACTTTTTTTTTTTTACCTTAACTTTTTGTGTGTGTTTTTTTTAAGATTTTATTTTTAAGCAATCTCTACACCCAACGTGGGGCTCGAACCCACAACCCTGAGATCAAGAGACACATGCTCCACCAACTGAGCCAGCCAGGTGCCTCTTACTTTAATTCTGTTAAGATTAATTTTTTCTCTCAGAAATAATTTTCTAGCTTTTTAATCATTATTATGGTTCTTTCCCCAAGTTCCTCCAAAATATATGTATCTAACTATAAGGATTTTTAAGGGGAACAAAAGTAAGATTCTACCTAATACTTAGAACTGACAAAAATATATCTTAAATATTCCTACATTCTAGACCAAGATTTAGAACTTCTTTAGCTCCCCAAATCTCTAACAGAATAGCGGTTTCCAGCCAGGAGCAATTTTGCCCCCCAGGGAACATTTGGCATTGTCTGGTGACATCTGTAATTGTCATGACTGGTGAGGAGAGGCAGAGATACCACTGGCACATAGTGGGGAGAAGCCTGGGAAGCTGTTAAAATCCTACAACACACAGGACAGACTCCAACAACAAAGAATTATAAGGCTCAAAATATCAATGGTACAAAGGTTGAGAAATACTGACTCATAAAATTACGGTACATGAAAATTTAAAGAACAAACACAGGAAAAGGAAAAAAAGGAGAGAAATACAGAGTGGAAAGGTAGTAAGGTAGTAAGAAAGATTTTTAAAATGAGAAAAAAGATAATAAAAAGGAGCCATATTTTAAGCGCAGCATAATTGTATTTCCTGCTGTGATGCGTTATTTTATGAAATGACCTTGATATCATCTTGTCCACCTTGTAACTGCAGCTTTACACGACTCACTAGTGATTGGCCTGGGTCTACTATAACCTACTACAATACTAGATCCTTCTCTCTAGTCTTTGACAATCTGTCCATTTCTTGTAATGATTTATTCATTCATAAGCAAGTATTTCCTGAGTACCTACTGTATGCTAGGCGCTGGGGATACAACAGCGTCAAGCAAAAACTCCTGCCAGGGTAGAGCCTATGGGGGGGGGGAGGCTACTGACACACCTGATTTCCTTTTCCCAAGTGAATTACTTTATACTTAGTTCTCCCAATAGAGATGCATCTGTTGGCACTACTCCAAGTTTCCCTAGTGATTTCAAAATCAAGACTACCCTTGTGCTGGCCATCACTGTCACTCTTGCCCAGGTTGATGACAAATGAGTATGTAACAAGCACACTTTCTAGTTCACCATGTTTTTTCACAGTGTTTCTTGAAGCAAGACAAAACCTTTCTGCTTCTCCCACTAAGGAAACCTTCTAGAGCATTACAGATAAACTCAGAAGGCTATGGCAGAAAGTGAGGGAAACACTGACAATAATGGGGGATCCAAAAGATATACCTCAAAGGGTAGCTCATAATAAAACCTCCAACTCAGGAAATATGAAAACGCAGACGAAGACCCATCAGAGAGTGCTGCCACTTACTTGTCTCCTAGACTACAGAGGCACTCAGCATACCTCTAGTCTGGTGTGCAGGCATTCATCAGGCTTTAGGATCACTAGTTTTATACAGTGAGGAAAAATTCTGATCCACGAAAGGAATACTCAAAACATGATGTCTTTCCAGGGATTTAATGGATGAAGTAACAGGGTTTTGCACACACCATCTTCCCTGATATTTACATGTAAATCCATGGCGGATGGGGAAACCAAAGAAAAGTCTTAGCATTTATGGAGATCAGCAATATGGTGCACAAACCTGAGCAGAGAAGAAAGGGGTATGGTTCAGAAGGAAGAGAAAATGTTAGAGGAAAGAAAATGTTACTCTTCTCTTTAAGGGAAAATTAGTGGACAGCATTTTCCCCAAGGAGGACCCCTGACAGCTGTACCTAGGGACTGAGTATGACTTCCTTAAGGAGCTCACTAGGGGCTGAGCTGGAAGGCAGAGGAAAGAGAAATCAGAGGGATTAGAGGTGGGGGTTGGATGTTTAAAAGGGGCTTTAGTAAAGATAGAGAAAGAAGAGACAGATGGATGCAGAATAATATTTCCCAAACTTCATGAGCAGAGTGAGTGAAGAGAAGGTGGAGGCCTCTAAGAATTCACACCCTGTGCCCTCAGTTACAAACACAGTCTAGTTGCTAACAATATTAAATTCCAAAATGACTTGTAATGTAGGAAAATAAAATAAACATCCTGCACACTTACCCAATCCGGGTAAACAGCTTCCCATGGGCATGGAGAAAACTGAGGATGAACCTTTTGTTCAGCTGCATGGGAAAAAGAGAGAGGAGAAAACAATTAAACTTTCCCCAGTTTCCTGTTACTGAACAGAGTCCCTAGTGACACAATAACCTGGCCAGGGTCTAAGGGGTGGGCACTAGGGATGGGAACCAAATGAACATGCCCAAAGCCTCACACAGACCCAGGGCACATGCCCAACAGCTGCGGATCGGCTGAGCCACCATGACAGCAGGCTCAGTGAGTGGACAGCACCCTCTGCTGGCAGCGGTGCCTGTGTGCAGGCAATGAAGGGATGACAAAAGCGCTCAGATCTAGGAGTCACCCTGGCCCACAATGATGGAAATTAAACAATGACAAAGACAGGGAAAATACTCTGATCTTGTAAGTCCCTTATCGTATTTATAAGCTATTTTCCTACCTATCCAAGAAAGCAGGACTCTTGTAACCACGGATAAGCTAACAACACTAACTCATCCAATTGTACTTCTCCAGCTTTTAAAACAAAAATTCAAGTTCTAGATCTAGAGCTGAAAATTCAAGTGTCTACAGGAGCCAGGTACAAAATAGGCTACTGGGGACAGTAGCGCTCGACGGCTGTTCCACTCCATTTCTGCTCTTTGTAGGCCCAGGATCATCATCTCTTTCCTTTTATTTTCTCCCCTTTTAAAGAAAAGCTTTCGAAAGCTAGGTTTTTATGTGAAAACCTATGGCTTTTAAATGTTGGCTACTAATGGAAAAAATTTAAGACATTAGGCAAGCCAAAAACACATATTTGCCAGCCACATCTGGCCCACAAGCTACCAAATTTACAATCTTCAGTTCAAGGTTCCACAAAATCTACTTCTATCAAAACCGAGGGGAAAGATTCCTCTGATCAAACCAAGGGTTGGGGGGGGGGAAATTCAACTCAAAGAAAGTGCAAATAATCTAAAGACCAAACCTTGTTGTCATCTTCCCCAGTCTCCTAGAACCAAAATGCTCACGGCCCAGTAGCCAAACAGAAAGAAGGATCAATAATCTTGATCTCAGGGGGGGTGCTCAGAGCAAGGAATAGTCCAGCACCCCTGGATACTTTGCCTAACAGGAAAAACTCTGCTGGTTTATCCTTTTGCAAAAGAGAACACCAATCAAATCAAGACAGTTCCATCTATTTCATATGGAAGCTCGGTGTGGGTAAAGGAGTGTACTCACACCTCACCATAACTTCAACAGCAAACTCTGCACACAAACTGTAGTTATTTTTGCTTAAACAAATTATACTTAATCAGCAATACTAGATCCAGCATTGATTTATATAGCTAAAAAGCTCAAGATACTTCATTGATGGTAACCTGTCTCTACAGTGAGGTGAGTCAGGACCAGGGACATTGGGTTCCATGAAAAGAAGGGAAACTGCTGGAAAACAAAGGAACTGCTGTGAAATAAACTGCCAGTGACCATACCACTGTTAGTGGCAAAACCTGGGCTAGAATGCAAGTCTCCAGATCCACTAGTAGAGGAAGGTGGTGAAAAACATGGACTTTCTTTTCCAACCTCTGCCATTTACCTGCTGTGGAATCTCAGGCAACTTATCTAACCTCTCTAAGTTTTTCTTTCTTTCTTTCTTTTTTAAGATTTTATTTATTTATTTGAGAGAGAAAGAATGAGAGAGAGCACATGAGAGGGGGGAGCAGCAGGCAGAGGGAGAAGCAGACCCCCCTGCTGATGTAGGACTCAATCCCGGGACTCCAGGATCATGACCTGAGCCGAAAGCAGTCGCTTAACCAACTGAGCCACCCAAGCACCCCTAAGTTTTTTTTTCTACACACTGGAGATAACAGTACCTATATGTTAGTGGATTGGTGTATGACATAAGGCAAGTAAAAACATGCTTGACATGTTGTAAACACTCAGCTGTTAGCTGAACATTCTTCCCCAATGAATGACAAAGCAAGTGGTAAAATGTTAACAACCGAAGAATTTGAGGGAAGGATATACAGAATTCCTTGGATTGTTCTAACAACTTTTCTACAGATATAAAATTATTTCAAGATAAAAAGGTAAAAATGTAAAAAAAAAATAACAAAATAAAAAATAAAAAGGTAAAATGTATGTACTCTCTCTCTATTCTTATTTTAACTTAATTATCCCTTTTCCCACAGCTATCAATCATGACTAGTTAACCCACCCATAACCAGGAGGAATGCTGGTTATATTTATACATACAGGGTACTTCGGTAGGCAAAGAATGATATTAACTCATCTCATTCAAGCCAATTACCATTTCCCAAGCCCCAAGGCAGCTCAGAAAATTTAAGCAACTTAAACCAGCAAATGGCAGAGTTAGAACTTGAACCCAGGTCTTCTGGTTCCAAAGAAAAGTTTTTCCTCCTTTGTACTGCAAGTATCTCAGGAAGAGAACTGATTAGATTATTCATAACGGAAGGGATGATGAGGGAATAAGAGTAACTAAAAAGCACTTCAGGTCTACTTTTTAAGTTTCTCCATGAGGTAGGAAACTCATACTGTATGAGCTACAATATCTCCTGGATTAAAATTAAGAGCACCAAGAAGCTTTGTAGTACTGTGGTTCTATCGGGGCACCTGGGTGGCTCAGCTGGCTGGGCATCTAACTCTTGATTTCAGCTCAGGTCATGATCTCATGGTCGTGGGATCGAGTCCTGCATTGGGCTCTACACTTAGCCTGGAGTCTGCTGGAGAATCTTTCTCTCCCTCTCCCTCTGTCCCCCCACACCCCATCACCCCACTCAAGCTCACTCTCTGTCTAAATACATAAATAAATAAAATCTTTTAAAAAAAAATACTGTGGTTCTATCTATACTTCCCAAACACCCTTCGTTTAGGGTAGCAGATGAAGCCCATGTAACTACCTCAATTCATATTTGCCATTGTTATTTTCAACTGTATTTAGCAGAAAGTAGATTTCAATGCACTGTTTTTCAACTAGTGAGAGTGAAGGGAATCTTAGGGAACTTTTTCAAACTGTACACACATTCTCCCTGACCTTGGTTAATGAGAACCACTGCTTTATTTTTAGTCTGAAAGTATCTGTCACCTTAAACACAGTCTCTCTTTATCGTCACCAATAATACTTCAAGTCAGAAAACAGCTAAAAATGAAGATGCATTCTAGAGAGACGTAAGGCATGTTATATTGAGGAAATAGATTTGTTACACATTGATCAAATGGACCTAAGCAACGCTGCATGTAACACTCCAGCACAATTTTTGGAAAACAATACCAAGTCCACGGTAGGAAAGTCTTAGTCTGAGCTTCCTCCCTTTCCAACACATCACCCTGTACTGGCTTCCATTTTGGCAACTTTTTGATTCTTAACAATATACTCAGATGGTCTCACTCAGGTACAGAAAGAAATGTTACTCTTTGAATGTGAGACTATCTGCCTCCAGATCTTCCTCACATATTTCCATATGGTTCACCAAAAACTAAAAATGCCTCTTGGGTATACCCTGACAGGCAACAATAGAATTATAAAAGGGCTCTTGGCTCTTCAGTTCAAGTCCAAAACCAATTCACTATGGACTCCTGAGCCTTTTATAAACCATCTAAAAGCAATGACCCAAAGAGACATTAATGGCAGTGGCTGGATGGGTAAGTCTCTGGACCCTCACAATAAAGTCTGTCCTGCCATTAACTACGGAATTATGAGTGAAATGGTTTGGGTTGTTCCTCAACTATAAAATAGAATTTCCACCCACTGACACCACCTACCTCAGAGCTGAAAGAATAAAATGAAATAATAAAAACTAAAGCATTTTGAGGAATAAATGTTTTATGCAAGCCGTGGTAACTGTCACTCAGAACTGCCTAAATGCTTTGTGAACTATGGAGCAAGGAAGGAGAGAGAAGCTGTTCAGAGGCAGCAATACAACACAGGAGGTAAGAATTCTGAAATATGCCCAATTTCAATTCCTAAATAGTTGCTCCTCCTTCTGAATAGCTGTGTGGAAAACTGAATTTCTGAGAAGTGAATTATTTTAAAGATAGTAAGAGTACTCGGTATTAAAAGAAATTCCAGTGTGCATTTTTACAGTATTGTGGAGAACATAAATTATCATTCTCTTAATTTATCCATCTGGAGCACTTCTATAGATATGCCAAGTATTTAAAACCAAAAACCAAAAAAACCTTGTCATGTTTTAAATAGGGGGCTCTATCCTCTTAGATAGGAGCCAACATAGGTAGAAACCCAAATTTCAATGGTACCTGTTAGCAAATGTTCAGGACTTTCAGAGCATGCAATTGAAGCCCATTTACTGTCTCCCTAAAGCACTGAGCTCACAGGGTGCAGGAAAACGTGAGCACAGAGGTAATGCTGTGCTGTCCACTTTCATCCCTGTGCTGCTGCTATGCCAGGCACGATCAAGAACAAACCAACAGGGCGCCTGGGTGGCTCAGTTGGTTAAGCGACTGCCTTCGGCTCAGGTCATGATCCTGGAGTCCCTGGATCGAGTCCCGCATTGGGCTCC